CTGAATTAACTTTCTGTTATAATCTGGAAAAGTGTTTACTAGGGGTGCAACGATACACAAAATTCACGGTTCGGTTCGAGACTTTGGTGTCACGGTTCGATATTTTTTCGATACAAAAAACTGTTCGTGCCTTTTTAATTTGTCATTTATTAAAATTATAAATATATAATTTAACTCAAAAGTACAGTTTTTAAATTTAATGTTGCTGAAACAACAAAGTATTAAAAATATATATATATATCTGATTGAGGAATCACTCATCTTTGGAAAAGAGAGTTTATTACAGAGAAATGGCTCTTTCCAAAATAAAAGCTATACTATACGCTTCTTCTGGGCTATATTCTCAGCAGCATATTAAACATATCAGGTCCCATAAGGAGAATCATGTGCTAACGGCTGTCTAAATGACTCGGGTAAAGTCTGTAGCATGCGTGCTTGTTGTTGTCTGCTTCCACTTGTCTTTGCACTAGGATGATGTCGGAGTAAATGTGCAGTCATATTTGTTGTGTTCCCACTAGTGCTGTCAGCGTTAATCTCGTTAAAATGACATTAACGCCATAACGCGGCAAATCTCCGTTAACGTGTTACCGTGGATCGCCCCGTGCATGGGGCTGGACAGCGTCAACACGTTAATGAGCTAACGCACGAAGTTCCCACCAATTGAGTGTGGCACGTCCGACATACAGTTTTACTTTTGTCCATGACGCGCTTACCAGGATGATCTGATATCTGCACTGCACTGCTTGATTTTCCATGAAATGCAACTGGATTTTTTTTTCAGTTATTCTCCAACTTTTCTGCAGCATGTAATATCAGCTGCTGTAACATCTATTATCCAACAACCCGCCCTGCCCGGCCTCGTGTTGGTGTTGTTCCAGGTTCAATATTGCAAGTGACCAATCACATTGTTGTGATGTTATTCTTTTGCGCGCCAAGCCATTCGTGCATTTATGAAATTCCAATGTTGCAAGGACAATATCAATTCTGCTTACTGTTTATTAAAGGGTTACGGTTAGGGTTAGGGTCAGGGTCCGTTGATCGACGGACAGAGGTGGTTTCTCGCAGCTTAAGTACAATTTTTTGTTTTACCCGAAGTTGCAAAAGTATGACGTCACAACATTCTGATTGGTCACTTGCAATGTTGATCCTGTAACAACATTTAGTATGATGATCTGGGAACAACACCAACACGAGGATCAGATCGTGCCGCTTACCATCAGGGTCATGCTTCACATGAAAACCAAGATACTGTAGTTCCAAACGCCAGATCTGAATGAGGGTGGGGGCGGTTCAATTTCGGGTAGCGTTGAGGCAGTTGCCATGTTGCAACGAGCTTAGCTTCTGTCTTGCTAGCTTGCGCTGCGCTCAGTGGATCTGCACTCGTCAGTGCAGCCTAGGCGGAGTAGTCGAACGCAGATCCACTGAGCTCTCAACACAGACAGCATCGTCAGAAGAAAAGTTGATAAAATAAATAAAAATTTTGTATTGTTCGATACATATGCATACTGAACCGAAAGCACTGTATCAAACGGTTCAATATCGATATGAGTATCGTTGCACCCCTAGTGTTTACATAGTAATAAGTATTCACCCACTAAATTTCACACAAGTGTTGTGTCCATTGTTATGTCTGGTGTTTGGAGACTGCTTGTAATGTCAGGATAATGCATATTCTGTGAGTTCACCTGTATTCAAACTGATCAGATGTTTGATCAACTATAGTATGGTATACAGGCCCCTAAAACAAATATATCAGGGATTTTATTCCTACTGCTGGAGTCCAAAACTTAAAACATGACAGAGCTGTGTTGTCTTGATAGCTAACATCTGTACCATTCTGCTGATGGCTAAGGCGGGGTTAACATTTTAGAAAATTCAAAGTAGTAAGTAGTTTTGTTGCTTTACTGTCCTGATCTGACATTCAGTTCTTGGTAGTGTTGAATTAGCCTTATGTATTTCTGTTTGGTTTTATTGTAGTTTTGCTATATCTATGGAGTTTTGTGCCTGTGTTTCAACTTTCTCATTGTTTCCCGTCATATACAGTTCAGTATCATTTTGTTCATTTGTCTTGTACACTTAGTTGTCATCTTTTGGGTTGTTTCCTGTTTTACTTTGGTAGATCTCTTTTGTGCCTAGCTTTGAATTTTGCATTCCTTTGTAATTGTCTTGATTACCCACACCTGTGTCTCATTCCTCCAGCTGTTTCCACTTCCCTGATTACCCCATATGGATAAATAGTCCAGTCCTTCACCTTTGCTCTTTGTTGTGGTGTCTGTGTGCACATCTACCTAAAGGTAGATGTGCCTGTTTCCCAGTCCCCTGTTTCCCAGTCCCAAAAGGGCCTAAACAGGCCCTTTTGGGACTGTGCATTGGAAGTTTTTCTTTTTTTGTCCTGCATTTGGGTATTTCCTTCACAATACACAAACACAAGCAAATTACAACTCAAAACAGCTTCCTTTTGTAAAAGAATAGAAAGCTATTTTAAGCACAGAGCCCAAAAGGTAAACTCATCTCTCTCATTACAGGGTAAAATATTCTGTTGGTTGGTGCACAAAAACAGAAATGCTTTTCCCCTGCATTTCAGCAGCGGGCCTGGTACACCTTTGCTTCGTGTCACTGTTCTTGCTTTATCCAGATGACAATCACTTTTAAATTTAAAGAGCCCTTCTTTTCCTTCATGCACCTCCTGTAATTTAGACATTGGTCCTAAATGCATAAAATCCTCTTAACTTTGCCCCAACAAAAATGTAACACTCAAAAAAGGCAGGCCAAGCATATACAGGCCAACACAAATTACAGCTCTGTGACGCTTAAATCCTCTGATTTTGAGGCACTGGTGAGTCTGTGCAGCTCTCCGTCGACATAAAGCACAAGAGGACCCCTGAAGAATTTTCCAATTAGGAGGCACGAGCATGTCTCAGAGCTGGAGATGAGATGCACAGCCACATCGCTGTAACTTGACATTCCTCACAGCCACTTGTGTGAACTTCCATCAGTCTGGCGTCCATGCACCAGAAGTTTCACGACAGCAGAGTCACAGATTCAGGTGGTGAGGAATGTCCTCAGTGGTTAAGAATATCCCTGTCCTGCTGTCTGGGAGAAATATAACTGCAGTCTAGTGACACAGACAGCTGAGACCTTTAAGATGTTTCAAACTGTCTTGTCTTTGACCATTCTTGACTTATGTTGCCAGGTTATTTTGTTCCACCTGACAACAGTCATTATACAACCTGAATGGGATACAAATTGTAAAGTGGATTAAATTTACTGATGTTCAGAACTGCAGATCATTGTCATATAAAATACACAGGCCTCTGTTGAAGATGTTATACTATTGTACAGGGTGGAATGAAACCAAATCGAATACGATGCCTCCAGTTTTGTTACCATCAGTTTGTTATAACTGATGTAAGGAAAAAAGACCAAGCTGGAAAACTTAAGAAGCCTCCATTTTGTCAGTAAATAAGTCAAATATTGACTAAAATAAATGCACAAAGCGATTTCTGTAAAGGTGCTGACGCTGTGTGCATGTTAAACCCATCTCTCGCTCACCATCTATCTTGCTCTCTCTGTGAAGTGAGAAATTGTCCATAGAAATTTGGTAATACCATGTTCGGATGGTTATTGTCATTACAGTTATTTTTTAAAAAAAAGGATCAGGCAGGCAGGAAAAACGTTGGTCAATTTCAACAATGTCATTACTCCAATCTTGTCCAGTCATCTTCTCCCTCAGTCATCTTTGAGCCAATCAGCCTTCACTCTGTGGTTTAAATCCGTGCTCTCTGTCATTCTCTCTTTCTCATTCATGCAACCCATTTCCTCGCCATCTCCACCTCACCCAAGTCTGAGCTTTACCCAAGTCTTGCTCTTCATCATCACCAGCGTCTAGACTCCAGGGGTTCTGTCATTCAATTTCATATATATATATATATATATATATATATATATATATATATACTTATTATTATTTTTTTATTTTATTTTTTATTTTTTACTCCTGGTTCAATATGATGTCAGAGTGAGTGGATATCCCTAATATGGTGATGATTAATGAGATCATCATTAATCATCTCTCATTTAATGAGAGATGACTAATGCCCAAATACCTGATAAATAAGTAATGCGTTAAAGTTCAGAGAAGGGAATTAGGCTTTATAGATCTAAATTATTTTTTTGTACCAATTATTATTATTATTATTTTTTTATTCATCTTTAGGCATGAAAAAATATTTTTGAACTTTTTAAACATGTACTTTTCAAAGAGGTTTTTTTTACATATTCACTTAGATGGACAACTGCTGTGTATGGAGTGACGAATCAGTGTCCAATATAGTGATTTATATGCAGGTATACCATCAACACTGACACAAATACAAGAAAACAGCCTTTAAATAGCTGTCCACTGTAGTGACCGCTGTGCGTGAAAGGGTTAAAATAGGAGTTTATGGAGATTGACTCATGTTTTCAGTCAGCCTCAAGTGGCCATTTAAGGAACTTCAGTTTGGCCCTTCTTTGCTGGTTTAATTTCTTTCAGCCCTGGAGGTTTGTTTCCACTTGGTTTAATTGCACAGTTTGGATGAAGAAATCCAGACAGAGAAACTGAAAGTGGCTTTAATGATAACAAACGAAGCTGAAGAGCATAGTCGGTCCTGAAGATGAACCAGGAGATAATTTGGGAAATGAGGGGCAGGTGTGGAGCAGCTGATGATGAGGTGACTGGGGAAAACTTAGGCAGGCCGGCCGGCCGGGCAGGGCGGGTTGTTGGATAATAGATGTTACAGCAGCTGATATTACATGCTGCAGAAAAAGTTGGAGAATAACTGAAAAAAAAATCCAGTTGCATTTCATGGAAAATCAAGCAGTGCAGAAACATGAATCATGCACAACAAGTGCGCACACACACTGTAGCTTATATGTGCAGTGCAGGGCTGTTCTTCAATTCTGCAGCATATCATCTTTTCTAATCTGGGACTGACTAATCCTCCTGTGTTCCTGATCCAGGCAAGGGGAGAGACAAAGACCTGGTAACTGGGAAATGGTTTTCTCAGCTGTGCTTGAGGTTTACAGAATGGGTGGAATATTTTGAGGCTGCTTTCTCTGTGAATGCAGGGTGGTGGTGGTGGTGGACTCTTGGGACCATGTGCACCACCATCATGTTTCTCTCTACTCTGGCTTTTGTACTGCGCCAGCATTTCTTCAGCCGAAGTAAGACGTAAGTTATTAATTTTTTGTTCATCTGAGTTGATGGTTTTTGTCTTTGTTTGGAGCAGCAGTCATGCAGTACAAGTACGTTAATTTTGGTATAATAAATCTGCTACATCTTAAACTCATGTTTACCTGCACTGGAGATTTGACTTTGGTTTGACTACTGAAAACACGACTGAAAAAAAATTAATTCTTGAAGGTACAACAGGTGACTGAAGAAGTATTTTGGCAATCAAACTCTGTATTTTAGGATTCATTTAATTAATTTTTTTTCAATTTAACAATGTTTTTTTTCTACTTGTGGAGCTTAATATCACTTAATATCATTTAAGTGGACCTGTTTATACCACTGCTGCAATCTGCAGTGTTATAATATTATATGCCCATCATGGTCAAAGTAAGTGCTTGAATGTTTGGAAGCAATCCCCAAACATTCAATTTCAGATATATATATATATATATATATATATATATATATATATATATATATATATATATATATATATATATATATATCCTGATCCTGTGGGACTCCCAGATACAGGCGGACAAAATGGTGGTGGCTAACCAACCGGACATAGTGGTGGTAGACAAACAGAAGAAGACGGCCGTAGTGATCGATGTAGCGGTTCCGAATGACAGCAATATCAGGAAGAAGGAACACGAGAAGTTGGAGAAATCCCAAGGGCTCAGAGAAGAGCTCGAGAGGATGTGGAGGGTGAAGGTAACGGTGGTCCCCGTGGTAATCGGAGCACTAGGTGCGGTGACTCCCAAGCTAGGCGAGTGGCTCCAGCAGATCCCGGGAACAACATCGGAGATCTCTGTCCAGAAGAGCGCAGTCCTGGGAACAGCTAAGATACTGCGCAGGACCCTCAAGCTCCCAGGCCTCTGGTAGAGGACCCGAGCTTGAAGGATAAACCGCCCGCAGGGGCGTGCTGGGTGTTTATTTATATATATATATATATATATATATATATATATATATATATATATATATATATATATATGTATATATATATTAGGGGTGCAACGATATTCGTATCGATATTGAACCGTTCGATACAGTGCTTTCGGTTCGGTACGCATATGTATCGAACAATACAAAATTTGTAATTTATTTTATCAACTTTCCTTCTGACGATGCTGTCTGTGTTGAGCGCTCAGTGAATCTGCGTTCGACTACTCCGCCTAGGGTCGACAGTGCAGCCTAGGCGGAGTAGTCCAACGCAGATTCACTGAGCGCTCAACACAGACAGCATCGTCAGAAGGAAGAGCGCAGGGCAAGCTAGCGAGACAGAAGTTAAGCTCTCCTTACAACATGGACCTCCCCCACCCTCATTCAGATCTGGCGTTTGGAATTATTTTGGTTTTCATGTGACGTATGAAACAATTTGCTGTGTTGTGGCTTTAAGGTCATTTCAACGAGATTAACCTGAAAGCACTAGTGGGAACACAACGAATATGACTGCACATTTACGCTGACATCATCCTAGTGCAAAGACAAGTGGAAGCAGAAAAAAAACAAGCAAGCATGCTACTAACTTTAGCCGAGTCATTTAGACAGCTGTTTAATATGCTGCTGAGAATATAGCTCAGAAGAAGCGTATAGTATAGCTTTTATTTTGGAAAGAGACATTTCTCTGTAATAAACTCTCTTTTCCAAAGATGAGTGATTCCTCAATCAGATACAGGGCTCGCAAAATTTTTTCCAGTCGGGCTACCAAAATCTCTCTCTGCCCTGCCCGTCGGGCTATCGCAGGAAGGAAAAATATATGTCAATGCTTTTGCATTCTTTCAGAAATGTAGCTGGGTAATTATGTCATTGGCATCGGTGAGCCACTGTCAATATGTGACATATTGAAATCGCGTTTGAATTTGCGCTTGTTTTTTTGCTTTCACTTTGCAATCGCGCGAACTGTGTATAGAGAGCGACAGCACTGATCTGTGAGTGATGATAATTTGCGCACCAATTCCTCTGACATCGTCTTATTAATTGTTAGCTTACTATGCAAACATGACAAGTGAAATCTCCCGCAGCTTAAACATGTGAGAGGTTGATCGCGCAGAGAATCGCTGAGCTTATGTGAGTACGTGTGTAAAAGCAGCAGGATTTATATTTGACTACGATGACCTGGATGACTGAGAACCTTCACAGACAGATATATATTTTAGTTCTGCTGAGCCAAATAAGACAGGTCAGGGTGAAGAAGTGACAGCCAAAGAAAAGCTTACCACAAAACTGAGAAGTTATGACAAATCAGACTATAAGGCAAAAAGAAAGTGCAGCTTTATGGTTTCATGGACAAAAGAATTTCTGTGGCTGCAATATGACGAGCTAAATAACCAGGGCTGCACATAAGTGGTCCGCAGGTGCGCATTCGCTGTCAAAATAAAAAACACGCACAAGGGTTAGGGTTTGGGTTAAATTTAAAAACTGTACTTTTGAGTTAAAATATATATTTATAATTTTAATAAATGCCAAATTAAAAAGGCATGAACATTTTTTTGTATCGAAAAAATATCGAACCGTGACACCAAAGTATCGAACCGAACCGAGAATTTTGTGTATCGTTGCACCCCTAATATATATATATATATATATATATATATATATATATATATAATTATTATTTATTATTATTTATTTTTTTTACTCCTGGTTCAATATGATGTCAGAGTGAGTGGATATCCCCAATATGGTGATCTCAAGCACATGGCTTTATCTGTGAACACAACAGCTCTGCCCACCTGCTCTTCACACCTTTTTACAAGGGGAAGCCAATCATCAGTAAGTTGCCTTTGAGTGGGACGAGCTAACACAGCAGCAGCAAATGGAGAATGAACTGAAGAGGCTCACCAAGGTTCAGCAGTTTATAGAATGGAAGAATATAAACACAAAGCTGAGTGACAGCTTAATATACTGCCTTTAAAGTGATGCTCATTAACAGTCAAATTCATTCTTAAATGCTCCAGAAAATAATGTTTAATCGTTTATGCAAATGTAGAGTATAAGATTTTGTTCATGTATTCATTGTAGTCGTTAGTGGTATTTACACCAATTTTTTGTTGCCCTTTCACAGGCATACACACACATATTTGTGATGCAGTTTTAATGACTGTAAGTGCGCATTTGCTGTCACTAACATGCTTCTTGGTTTAAATCCTGACTTCTGGTTTATTTTCAGCACTCTCTAGGAAACCTTCCCTTCTAAGTAGTGATCTAATGGGAAAAAAAAGCACAAAATGTCTTTACTCTCTGACCTTGCTCAACAATACAATCATAAGCATCATGCGACTTCTATGTGATCCCATATCTCAGAATCTTTGAGAATCAGGTAACTTTTTAAAAAGCAATGGAATATATTTTGCTTTCATCACCTGCCCTCAATGAGAAGGGGTCTTTTTTTAGGATTCATTGCTTCAGATGTGCTCATTCTCAGGTTGGCACATACTGATTTGTCCACACGGTTATGTATAATGTGGTGCGGCACCTCGGTTGAAGATTTATGCCTACTGCCAGAGTATGAGAAAGCACGGACAGCAACGTGAGTTCTTCTTGCCTTCAAATGTGCAGTCCCTGGGCTTGGTCTGTCTCTGTATCTTTACCTCATAATGATGTTCATCACTTACAGATGAACATAGCAATTATTTAGTGTGAACAACAGTTCAGTTTAGGACTTGTTCAGAGGTGACTGTGTGCTGGAAAACAAGCAATGATTACTGTGAAATGTTGTTGACTTTCACCATTAGTCAGCTTCATAGTGGTTTCTTTCACTGAAGGGAATTTCTGAGAACTGGATGCTATTTATAGCTAGAAAGAAGTAAAAGCTGACTGGAAATACCAAAATTATGGTGAGAGCTGCTAAAAGACTACTAACCAAAAGACTACAATTGCAAAGATAATCTCATCCATAATTCAGTAACACATTATGTATAGATTCAGGATCTATACATGATAGTTGTTGTTGTTGTTGTTGTTGTTGTTGTTGTTGTTGTTGTTTTTTTGTTTTTTTTTTTAACTCTATATTAATGTATCTAGATCCATATATTTATTTGTCTGTATCTATATTTATCTAGACTTTCGGGTTTATCTAATTTTACTGAGCAGAATTTGCGCGTTTGGAGATGTTGGTTCAAGCATTTGAAATTACTGCCAGTGAAAATTGGAAAATAAATAAAAATCTGTTTCTGCTAACTCCGCTATCATAGGCTAGCTAGCTCCAACCACAACTTTATTGACATTTGCACCATGAACACATCACAGTAATAGGAAGGAAGAAGGACGTGTTGAGACTTTAAGCTGTGGGATGTCATTATTCTCTTGAGACGGCATCTCCATGTCACCACTACAATCAATGCCAGGCTGCACATGAAAAATCACCTCATTTAACATTACCAGGCATTGACCTGCCAATCAGATTCAAGTTCTGTTAACTGGAAGTACCTGAATGTCATTTGGGGTTGTTCAGGCACGCTTTAATCACTGTGTTCTAGTTTAAGAGGGTTACTGCTGTGCTTCCCATCACCCTCAGTCACGTCAGATTGCTTTGCACTTCCTGAGCCTGGTTCTGCTTAAGATCTCTTCCTGTTAGAAATGAGTTTTTCCTCCCCACTGCTGTCATGTGCTTGCTCATATGGGGTTGCTGGGTATCTCTCTGTAAGACCTATATTTTTTAAAAGTACCTTGAGCTCCCTTTTGTTGAGGACTGGTGCTACATATATTAAAACTGATCTGAAATGTGGCCTCCTGACTATTAACACCAGTCAGAGTTCTAAATACAGTCTCATAATAACGCAGATATTATCTCAAGTATGATATCTGAATAGGAGTTTAATATGAGCCTGTTAATATATCCTGTGATGGATTTAGGCCTTTTTCTGAGGAGCACTATTTTGCTCAGTAATTGCCTTGGATTTAAACTGTCAGTTTTCTCAGTAATGCCGGCACATCCAGTAATACGCATCCTTTTGTTCTGGCGTTAAATAAATACAGAACAAACACCCCAATTACACCGTACTCTATTTCCTGTGAGGTTAAATTGAATGTGGGTTAATGGAAAAGGTTTTCTAAGTTTTGAGAGCTGATTTTTAAATGAATTGGTAATTATATGAAACAAATTCACACAAGCTAAAAAATTCCTATGATACAATATTAAACATACTGCCACTGAGACGTGTATTGATCCATTTTCACACAAACATACCTATATCCAGAGTTTATGCACATTTCACATCATGCCAGTACCAAACCAAACTCCCTTTTGTAGAGTCTGTTTGATTTGTACATTTTCACACACTTTTAATTGAACCCATTATGCTAATTTACAAAAGAATATTTTTTGTTCTTGCACTCTACTAAACATTTGCAATAGTTGCAGTTCAAAATTATCTATATCTTGTTTCAAGGTGGTACACTGTTCCTTAGTCTTAAACAGACTGTTATCCCCCTGCTCTCTTATCATAAGCCAACTTTCTTCTGATTGGCTGCACCATGCAAACAGAAGGTTTTAACAGCAGGTGATAGAGCCTTATGGATTATTTTCTGGTTCTCTGATGCTTTGTTGATTATTATTATTATTAATAATCTATGTTTCAGTTATTCATGGTGAGGTATTAGTGCTTAGGTTGTCTCGTGCTTAGTATAGGTTTAGTTCAGTGTCAAGTCTGCGTCTCTGTTTCTTGTTTCCTGTTTTATTGTGACGGTTTGTCTCATGTCAGCGTGTCTAGCTTTGCTCCCCCTGTCTCGTTAGCCCTAATCTCTCCCAGCTGTGTCTCCCTCCTTTTTCCCATCCTTGATGACTTCCTCAGTGTATTTAAGCCCCGTGTTTCTTTGTGTCAGTGTTGCGTCGTACCTTCAGAGTTGCCTGTGTTTCTGTGCTCAGTGTCATTGTTCAGTTCACGTTTTGTTCATCGCTAGCAATAAAGCGGAGGTTTTTCAGTTGCAATTCAGTCTCAGAGTCCTGCGTTTGGATCCTTGTCTCCGCCTGCCCGCACACCGAGCCCTGACAGAAACAGTGGACCGCCATGTCTAATACACATTTTCTGTGATACTCAGTTGGTCAAAAACATTTTATTTAGAGCAATCTGAAGCCAGAGCTTTTAGCTCATAGAGAATATTTGTACTTTCATCCACCATAGTTACTATTATGTCACAGAAAATAAACAAAAGCATAATATGTTCACTTTGATCAGCTGTTTCTACCCAATGATCTGCAAAGAAGATTGAATCAAAGGGTTGTGAGCCTCAGCGTAAGATTGTTTCTCATAGAAGTTCATGTTGGAATTTGAGGTCTGCTTAGGGAAAATGAAGACAATGAGCCCAAAGTGTAAAGCCATCTTACCCTAACCCTAAGAATTATAGTTTTGCAGTATAATTCATTGTTATATTTAACCATTTTAGGCTTTTTGGGGACCATTTTCATCCGGGGTTGGGGGTTTTGGCACCGTAGACCTGATATGTGAGAATTTGATACTGGTTAGCCTGTAAAACATCCTTTGTATGGCATATAAGCCATATTATGATGGGTTATGTTATATCAGCATAATATATTCTCTGTGCTGTTCACATCAATAGCTCCTGCTCCTGCTGCTCCTTATCCGCTCGATCCAGCAGCATCATCACCCAAACCATATACAATGTTTTGGTGGTGCGAGCACATCTGAAGCAGCCTGTTTCCTGCTGTGGGAGAAGGGGGGGGGAAAGTGATCTATGTTTTCTAAAACAATCCAAAGTTAGTTGTGAAAATTTCCTATGAAGACCCTAATAGCTGTTTTCCAAGTGTAATGCACTGATTTTGTCCTCGAAGGGATTGAACAGTCATCATTAGGGTGTTGAGCGTGTTTTCTGCGTGGTCTCTGAGCAATTCCTTCAGTTAACAACGCGTCTTTAAAAACTGCAGCAAAACCATGGTTGTTGTTCCAGAAACTTATTGTGCAGAGAAAATTACATCAAAGCGGGAACATTTCACTTCCCATTTAGGTTCGCATCATAAAAGATCCTTCTCATTATAAGAAAACAAACAAGTGCAAGCTGACCAGCAAAACAGAACTTTTTTTTTCTTCTTCCCAGAATGCTGATCTTATACCTCCATTATCTCATCACTTATCACCTTCACAAGTACTTTTTTCATTGCCGTATCCTCTCTCTGACCCCCCTGTCCCCCACTCTCCCACTCCCTCTTCCTTCACAGCTTTCCAAAAGGCTCGCGGGAGAAGGAGTCACCATCGGTGGAGAGCAAAGACACTGACAAGTGACACTCACTTAATGGACATCCAACTCAGGTAAGCATTAATGGATTTTGGTGCCACAGATCATTTCCATTAAATAATCACAGATAAAAGCTTCTGTTGTGGCATTTATCGGTGAACCCTTTTGTAAAACAACTTTTTGATGTAAGAAGCACAACTTCTTTTCAGAAAGTGCTGTTTTCCTGTTTTGTTTTGTTTTTCTCTCCGATTCACCTGCACCAGTAGTCTTAGTTTGCTCATATAGTTTTTACTACTTTTGATATTGTTCCTGGGCAGACATCTAATTAGTGAGTTAAGGCTTGAATGGTGATTCTAAATTGGTTAATTTGAGAATGGTTGCCTTTCCCTCTGTGTTAGCCTTTATTTCAGCCACCAATTCATATTCATATTCCTGTCAAAAATATTTTGAGGAACATCCAGCTCCTATATTCAGTGCCCTGTTTGTTTAAATGTGTTTTATTTGTCCATAGCTTCCAGTATGAATAGTTTGAATGTTCAGACGCAATAGGAGCATGCTGGAAAGGTGAGACCTGCATTATTCTGCAAAACCCTCATACCGCACCCCAGCCTCCTCTAATGATCACAGCCCAAAGCCAGCTGAAGCATCTTCCATTATTTAGAAACGCTGCACTGAAAGGCAATCTATCATTAAAAGATGTGCATTCTCTCAGCTTTTGTTGGACTGATAATGGGACCGTAACAAGGCAGCACCTTATAACGTCCAAAAACAATGACTACCACCGACAGTTTGGCTCTGTGTTAACAGAGATCAGTTTCCAGACTCGTGTTACACTTTGTGAAAACTGTGTTGGCCCTTTGAGGAGCTGGTTGTGGTCAGTGCTGTGATCCAGCACACTGCGTGGAGGCGACATCATGGCTAAGAGAGGAGACAGCAGGGCAGCCGATGCATTGTTTCCAGGGCACTGGAGGGATCTGAGCGAGTGGAGCATAGAGAAGAGACAAAGCCACAGAGTAAGACTGTTTTTCCACAAGCTGTCCTGAGCATGTTCTAGTCTTGTTTTCTAGGTACAGAACAAACTGAGAGCATCTGCACATTGCTGACTACTGCCAGCACAGTCAATACTCAGTAATTTAGACGGCATGCTCTCTATTTTGGTCAATTCAATAACACACTGATTATCGATCAGAAGATCAGTCAGTGTCACTGCTCCTTTATTATGTCTGCAAATTATATGAATAATTTGCATATGGCTTTTCTCGTGCTGCTTCTTTCAAGGATACAGCAGTTAATGAATTTAAGGCTCATCATCACAAGTACTAATGCATTGAGCTTGTTAGTGTTTGTCAGATTGAACTGACTAAGCTAACCATTACAAACCATCATGAGACAGGTTAGTTTTACTAATATTTTTTACATTATACATGCTTCCCTTAGGCAATATTATTAGAAAACACTGTGTATACATTTTTATTGCTATGCAGATTTTACCCAGCGTTATCTATCTATTAAGCCCAATGACAAAAATCAACTAGTTAACCTAGAGGAATGTCTTAAAGAAATAAAGGCCTGGATGACTTCTAATTTCTAAATTTAGTTAAAATTTAGGCACGCAGTTTGTAGAAACTGGTGTATAACCAGATGCTTTTGTTATATGACGTTACCATGGCCACCGGTGAGGAATCTCGTAGTCATTTGTGATCAGGATATGTCCCTCAATGTGCACATTAAACAAATACGGAGAACTGCCTTCATTCATCTGCTCTGTACTGTTAAAATGGGAAACATCCTGTCTCAGACTAAAGCTAAAAAGCTAGTTCATGCATTTATTACTTCCCGGATTATTGTAATTAATTTTTGTCATGTTGTTCCTTTAAGTTCCTTAAAAAGCTTTCAGCAGATCCAAAATGCCTCCACAAGAGTACTGACAAGGACTGGAAAGAGAGCATATTTCTTCCATAGAGGGTTCTCTTCATTTATTACCTGTTAAATCTACAATTTTAATTTAATTTTAAATCCTGAAAAATCTGGCTCTGTCATAACTTAAAGATCTTACAATACCTTACTATTCTACTTCATTAAAGCCTGCAGAAGGTTTCTTCCATGTTAGTTTTTTCTTCCTACTGTTGGCTAGTGCTTGCTCATAGGAGGGTGTTTGATTGTTGCATTTTATTTTTAATATTGAAGGGTCTTTATCTTGCAATATAAAGCACTTTGAGTCAACTGATGTTGTGAATTAGCACTTTATGAATAAAATTGAGGAGAATTTGATCTTACTGATGAGGCCTTGTTGCAGTAGTAATTCTGGTTAGTTACAACAGGAACTGCAGGTTCAGACATTCGGTTTGAGTGCTTGACGGACGAGAAAATGGCTGAATGCTCCAAATCAAAATATTGTAGTTCTGTGGATAGCAAACCCACCTGAACCAGTGAAGGAGAACAGGATAGTTTGGATGTATCCATAGATTAGGTATGCCATATCTGAAAAATAACTCGTAACAAAAACTGTTTCTCAGAATAAACGACTCTCTCATTTTCATCCTGGTAGTTTCCATCATTTATATTCCTTAAAATCTGCAAAGCTTGTGACTTTTTGGTAACTTGTTACTGTCCTTGATGAGTAAGGCATTACACAGGCCAACCTACTTGCTATAAAAATTTTTTTAAAGCCTTCCCTTCATGTACATTGGGTAAAAGCCAGACTTCAGAAATGTTTGTTTTCTACAGAACCAGTAAAAATGTGGGAGAAAAGAGTCTTTCAACACACATTCGTTCACTTGGTGATGAAGAATGGTGTCAATTATATCAGTACAAATCTGCCATAGGTGTTTAACTGGTGACATTTAAGGCCATAGCATATAATTCTCATCTTTTTTATACTCATCTATTCGTTCAGTTGGCCCATGTGCCCTTTTGGCATTGTTAGATTTAAAGACATCACTTCAAATAGGATAAAAATGTTTCACCATAGGTGAACACTCAGAATAACTGTGTACTGTTTTTCATGGACCCTTTCCTCCAAAAGCATAAAATGGACACAAAACATGTCCAGCAAATCACCTGACAGCAGGAGTCAAGTGCTCAAGATCGTCCTTTAAATGATGTCTTGTCTATACATGCTTATATATATGTTTACCAATACAGGATAAAACACTGCCTTACAATCAGGCAAGTTCTTAAAGCCCACCTACATTTTTTGTGTTTTTTGACTGAGCTGATATTAAAAAATGTACCAATTAAAGTATTAATTAGTTTGGTTAATGAAGCTGTGAACACAAGTAAATTACCTCACAGTGACCATGAAGCAGAACTGCACCATGCTGTGCTCACAGCAAATATTAAGGGAGACGAGGACGAATCAGCCCATCGGCACAGATCTGTCTCCAGCTGTGTGTGAACTTTTAATTTAAGTGGAAATTAAATACCTTAACCCCTTTCACCCGGGAGGCTGTGTCAATTATAAAAGCACCATTTTTCCCAAGTTGCCATGGGCGACTCATTCACTAAACTACTACCGATGACAAAGATTCTGCTTCAACGAATTGAGTACAGCTGCAGTGCTGACACATTGGTATTACAGACTCTAATTTATCCTTTTTATTTATAAAAGTCACTGGTCATGGCCGGTCTGAGTATTTCTGCTGGGTTTTTTGCACATATCCTTGTCTGGGGTTTGCAGAGAATGATCTGAAATTAGAAACTTTTCAGTTCTCAGGGTGAGAATACTTTGATGCAAGAAGTCAAAGGAGTAACCAGACTACTTCAAGCTAAAGACAACAGTAACTCATTAGAATCACAGTTTGCAGAAGAGCATCTCTGAACTTGCACAGCCTCACTAAAACTGGAACACTGTTAAAATGTTGGCTGGTCTAATGAGACTCAATTTCTGCTGCAACACTCAAATCGTAGGGTCGGAATTTGCCTTCAACAACATGAAAGCAGGGATCCATCCTGCTCTGTGTCAAAAGTTTAGGCTGGTGGTGTAATGTTTTGTGGCACACTTTGGGCCTCTTTGCACCAACTGGACATAAGTTATGCCTATCTGAGTGTTGTTGATGACCAGGTCCATCACTTTATGACAACAGTTGACTCATGGCTGCTTCCAGCAGGACAACGTATCAAATCACGAAGCTCAAATTCTCTCAAACTGGTTTCTTGAACATCACAATGAGCTTACTGCACTCAAATGGCCTCCACAGCCACCAGATCTGAGTTCAGCACAGCACCTTTGGGATGTGGTGAAACAGGAGTTTCACATCATGGATGTGCAGCCAACAAATCTGCAATGATTGTGTGATGTTGTCACGTCAACATGGACCAAAAACTCTGAATATTTCCAGCATCTTGTTGAGTCTGTGTTACAAAGAATTAACACCCCTCTGAAGGAAACAAAATGGGGTCCAGTCTGGTGTTATATATACTGTATAAAAGAATAGTAATGATGCATAAATCAGACTTTCTTCCTGATGACCAACTAAAACAACAATTACTTTAAAAAAATAACTAATGAGTAACTTTGTGTCCCTCGTTGTAAAGGTTTACTCCAAATCAATGAGACAAGAAAAACCAGAAAACATTTGTAATTGCTGAAAAACTGTGCTTATGCTGGACCTCCTTACACACTTAACATGACCTTGAGACAAATGTAGAGCATCTTCAAACAGAAAACGTGTCCTGTAAAGTGAGGTATGTTGTTTAAATTGGTTACACTGAAGGCTGCCCTTTCCATCTAAACTGAAGCAGACCACCTGTGTGCATTAGAGGTGCAGTAAGGTTGCTGCCTCCCGGAGCCTCTTTAATATTTTATCAACCAAAATGTGAAAGCTCTCTGTATGCTCAGATCTGTGTCTGCTGTGATCAAAAGGCGCATGAGCCAATTTCGTTTGCAACATCTTTCTTTAAATGATGAAATACTTCATTTTGTTGCTTTCCCTGTGTCCCCTTTGACAACCCGCACCCACCTCCTGCTCCACACAGAGCTGGGTTTTAGATGTGGAAGCTGTGCTCAGGTCCATGGAAAGACAGCTGGTAAGTTGATCCAAGTCTGTTTTAATAAACGTTAATAGATATTACTATATAATAAATCTAAATCAAAATGGTAAACTCCTAAAAAATTTTAATTTAGGGCATCGTCTGAAGTTTTTCTTTCTTGCACGCTTTTCTCACTTTTGGTTCAAACCTCTCCATGTGAAGTTTTGTTTGTTTGTTAGCTAAACTGGTGTTTCTAAACTGTTGGTAGGTGTGGATATAATTGTGAATGGATGGTAATAAACTCCAGAAAATGTAGGTGGAATTGGGTCAGGAGAAACTGCCCTGCAGCAGGAGGCATTTTACATCAGTTATATTCTGATTGCTGCCTCTCACTACAGTGCGTGGATTATTTGCATCGAGTGTGCATTCAGGCATCACGCAGGTTAGAGGCCATTTAATGACCAATCTATTCCAACTGCAGAGCCTATTTGTATTCCCACAGCACATCCATCGAGGCTGCAGTGCCAGTCGCGGTCACGGATGCATAAGAGAAGCAGTCTGAGCGAAACCAAGCCTGAAAATGTCCTTTAGTACACCAGCGGTCCCCAACCCCCGGGCCCCTGGGTCTTTTCACGCGTGTTATGAATAAATCTTCCTTTTTTCGGTACCGGTACTAGTTTTATTTTGTTGTATTTATCCGCGACACATTAAAGGCCGGTCCGTGAAAATATTGTCGGGCATAAACTGGTCCGTGGCGCAAAAAAGGTTGGGGACCGCTGCATTACACCGTAAATGGACTGAATCTGTGAATCGAATTGGATATTTAGATCTGGATTTATTTGTGATATTTTCTTGAAAACTCCAAGACAACATCTCCCAACATTACAAATTCAGTTTCACATGTCTTTGTGAAAGGGGGCAGAATGTCACAGCTGTTAGTGCTGTCACTCTGCAGCAAGATGGTTCTTGCTTTTAGTGATGTGTCGGTCGCGAACGAAATGGCTCTTAGAGCCGGATCTTTGACGTGAACGACGCGAGCCGGCTCCTTATCGCGAGCCGTGGGGTTTTTTTTTCCCAAAAAAAGCAACAAAAAACCTGAAGAGCCAGTTCGGAGCTGAAAAGAGCCGGCTCTTTTTAGTGAGTCGAGCCAAAAGAGCCGGTTCTCTAAAAAGAGCCGGAAATCCCATCACTACTTGTTTTGAACCTCCTGGTCAGATAGATGGAGACTCCAAATACATGTCCAAGGAAGTGTTTCTTAGGTTAGCTACTTTATTCCAAGTTGGCCTTAGGTATGGATGTTAGCAGCTGTTGAGCTGCTGAATCTATCCCAAACCCCTAATATTACCATATATCTTGTGAGAAAAAGGATCGATCAGTGATAATAGAACTTGCTCTTATGTAGCGCTGTTCTACCTTACCGGATGTGGGGTATGTTTAACATTTACACTCCAATAAATGACGAGAAACTCAGGGGTCTTGCCCAAGGGTACTTTGGCATGTAGACTCATGGATTAAATCACCAAGATGACCTGCTCTACCTCCTGAATCACAGCCAGGAGGTAGAGCAGGTCAAGGACATCGTTCAGATTCTGGTTGACTTTATCACTTTGAAGTTGGGCAAACCTTCAGCTCTGGTAAATTTTCCAAAACTTTGAGTAACCTGCTAACAAAGCTGTAGTGCCTCTTCACCTCACTGTACAATACCTTGTGCAATACTTTTGTAAATAGTCAACGGTGCAATAGACTCAATACTTGAAATGTGCAATTCACTTGTATTTTTATTTTTATTCCTATTTATTCTATTTATCCCCTTCGTATATTTTATTTATATTGTCTCTGTATTTATATATATGTGTGTGTGTATAACTCTGTAACTTCTGTCGGTGCTGTGCTTTTTTGGAAATCGAATTTCCCAGAGGAACCCACCCGAGGGATTAATAAAGTTCTATCTTATCTTATCTTAACAAACTGAACCAGTCATACAGTCTCCTCAGCAGAAGTAACGACTGTGTATTTTCAGTTGTGTTTAAATGTTTTTTTCAAATGTATACCCTAATGTTGGCAGTGAAGCATCAAACTAAAGTTTCTTCTTTTTTTCCTCAGAATTCTCTTTTGGAGAAATGTCCTCAGTCGAAATGTGGAAACAGCCCAGTGGGTCCTCTATCTCCTTTAAGCCACAGCAGGTCTCGCTCCAGTCAACAAGCTGATCCGTAAAGTCAACTTTAGATGCTTTTCAACTTTCTGAGCAAAACAAATCCCATATTTTTGCCCCAAACAGTCACTTGGAGTAGACAGACTTTGAGCACTTCTTGTTGCCGGTTTTCCTTTATTCCAGCAACAAAGAGCCCACAGAAGTGTACGCTCTGTGCCACGAGCACCAAACCTGCTGTGATTGGCAGCTTTGTTGGAGGGTTTTTTTTTTGGCTTGCTAAAATCCCTGTGCAACAATCTCACCTCTTAAGTAGTTGTTTGACATTACAGGGAGGAAAGCAATTTCACACCCGGTTGTATCATTACTCAACTGTTCCATAAGCGATGAAAACCTGACGGTCTCTGGAATGACTGAAAAACTTTCTGTCATTACCGAGCTGCCAGACCAGAAATAAACAAGTGTTTTCTGTGATGTACACGCACAGCCTGCTGCATCTTTATTTGAAGGGAAATCCACACCCACACTCCCAGCAGCACAAAAAAATTAAAGCTCCCTGGCTTATTCGTTTCTATAATTGAGCCTTTTGCTCTGCACATGGATTCACAAGCATGTCGAATTACGAATAAATCATATAGCGTGACAATGGGCCCCCTATGCACAGGATCTTGGCAATTAATACTGTTTTTCATCTTTTTATGGGCTGCATCATTTCCCTTGCCGACAAATGAGATCTTATTTCCTGCCTGATTACATAAGTGATTGGATCCTTATTGATATTAAGGTTGTGCGCTGCCCCAGAGATACCAGTGTGCGTTTAATGATACGTTCCAGTGGGAGCGACAGACCGCTAAGTTATTTTCGAAAAGGGACCAAAACCGCCTCTGTGGCGGGAATATGGCTGACTGTTATGCATCTACTCTATTAAGAACTCCATTATTGTGAATATCCCTGTTTGTCACTCTGACAACTGTGTACAACAAATCCCTCCGGCTGAAGTACTCCACTGGCAGAAGCCCGGGGAACTAATGAGCCTAATATGTCCCCAGGAACGTCGCCTCTGCCAAGTGTGCACTCTAAATCCTCCTGTGTAATCAAGGCGGTGCAGGACATGGATATCTGCAGATAGTGGCAGTAGTACTTCCATATCTCACTGTTGTCTCCTGCCCTGATGAGTCTGTCTGACTCAAATTACTAGGTGAAAGCGGGGTTTTTGTGCTGCCGGTAACGTGGAGTAGCTTGGGTAATGACTATGGTCTTCCTGAACACTCTGGTAGACCATGGGAGATAATCTAATGAAGGGGAGAGAGCCATGGTTCATAATTGCCTGAGAGAGAAGCTGGAAGAAAGGTACACATGGAGACTCAAACCTGTTTTTCCTGCGCGCTCCAAACTCAGATGCTGCTGCAAAAGCAGGAGAGGAATCAAGAGATGCTGATGATAGTCGTGCATGTTAAGGACACAGAGCATTTAAGCAATCAGACCTGTTCAGAGTCGTTCTGCACTGATACTGTTTTAAGTGTTAATGTTTTAGCTGATTTTGAAATGGGATGTTACAGCCTGCTGCTGCAGACTCTTGGAGTTTGAGGTGAGGACCCAAACGCAGACAAAACGAGGTGTGGAAACAAACTTAAATTTGTGAACCTTTTTAGGTTTTACACTAAGACACAAAATAACGAAAAAAACAGAATGTAACCCAAACCTGTAACATAAACTGGGAAAACTACTAAGAACCTAAGAAACCATGAATCCTGGACACACAAGGAGAGGTGCGCAGACAACCTGATGATGAACACAGGGAAACTCACCCAATAAATGCACATGAGGGTGATGAGGGAAGTGGAAACACACGAGGAACGCAGCTGGGATGAATAGGCCTAATGACACAAGAGGAAGCAAAACTGAACACGAGATAAGAGACCATCAAAATAAAACAGGAATCGCGCAGACTAAGACACACAGACTTGACACTGGGACCGGGAAAGAACAGGAGAACATGGAAACGGAGGGAGATGAAGGGCTGGGGAGACATGACATGAAACATGGGAACAGAAAAGCGAGCGGAGACACGGAGGGAGACACAGACATAACGAACATATACATACACATCAACAAGAAAACATGGATCATAATTCTAATTAAACTTACAACCTAACCAGGTCTAAACTCTATGCAAACTGTAAACACTAGAAGTTAAACATTTCCCCAAAATAGCAAAAAGGGATCAAAAATACAAAATGCACTCAAAATGCTGAGTCAACGGCCCAGCACGCTGACATCGGAGAGGTTATAAAGACTGATGGTTGTGTTTCGTATTCACGTCGGTTGTCCTGTTTCACTAATTTGTGCCTCCTCCTGTGTGTGACCTGGAAATCAATCTCAGTACACCATGTTGTTAGACGTGTCTCAGCTCCTAAAAATACATCTGCAGGTCGGAGCGGAGCGGCGGCTTCGCTAGAAGAACGATAACGGAGGATACACACGTGTATCCTTTTACAGAAGGATTTTCTGTCGATTACTGTTTCTATGTATTTTTAATTTAATTAAAATTGTCCATAAATATAAAAAAGACATTAAAGGGTTGACTTAATGATGTGTTTCGGATAATTGTCCTGGCACATAACCTGACTGAGCTTGAACTTCAGGGCATGAGCTGATGGAGAGACGTCCTCCTTCAGGTCTTTCTGGTAGAGAGAATTGATGTTTCCATCAGTTACAGTAAGTCGTCCTGAAGCAGCAAAGCAACCCCAGACCATCACATTACCACCACCATGTTTGACTGTTGGTCTTTGTTGTTGTTGTTTTTTAAATGAAATGCTGTGTTAATTTATAACACGTGTAACAACACTCAAAACATCCAAAAAAGTTCATCCTTTGTCTCATCAGTCCACTGAATATTTTCTGAAAAGTCTTGAGGATCATCAAGATTGTCGAGATGTTCTTATCTTTCTCTCTTGCCAAATGTGAGACGAGTCTTGGTGTTCTTTTTGGTCAGCAGTGGTTTTCTCCTTGGATCTCCCATGGATGCTGTTTTTGCCCAGTCTCATGAACTCTGACCTTAACCAAGACAAGGAACAGAGTTCCTTAGACGTTGTTCTGGGTTCTGACCTCCTGGATCAGTCGTTGATCTCCTGTGAACATTCACCACTGTTCCAAGTTGTTTCCATTTGTGGATAATGGCTCTCACTTTGGTTCACTGGAGTCCCAAAGCCTTAAAAATGTCTTTGTAACCCTTTTCAGAATGATAGACGATAGATGTTTCTGTGGATCATGACATGCTCTGTTTATTTTTGAGATATTTTAGCCTGCTTCACTTTGTCAGACAGATTTTTATTTTGTGATTCAACAGGCCTGGCAGTAAGCCGGCCTAGGAATGGCCAGTGAAAGTGAACTCAGCCACAAAGAAATGTGGTTAATCGCAGTTATAATATTAATTAACTTTTTCCACAAAGGATAAACTTTGTCTTAAAAAAAAATCCAATCAGCATTTAAAAACTGCATTTTACATTTAGTATGGTTATTCTTATCTAATATAAAAGTTTTTGGAAGATGTTATACGTGCAAGTGTGAAACATTTTCCACAGTTGTAACTTTAAAGCAAGGTGAGGAGGATCATTTTGTTAAATACCCCTTTTCCTCACCACCTCTGCTCTGGGACTGCAATGTGAGGAGAGGAGTCATGGATGTGCAGTGGAAATGAGAAGGGGAGTGTGTCTATGGCTAACGTGTGGAGTGCAGCGGTTGAGATGCATTGTCCATAATATCGAGTAGTTTCTTAAACATCCTCCTATTCACCACAAGGTCAGACATCACAAAGATGGACTTTCACATCGATTCATCTGCTGCACAAAGAAGTTTAGTCTTAGACATGTTAGGCAGGACAAGTTTAGACACTTTTTTTCAAATAACAAGAACACGGCTGAGTGACAGTATCTAAACACCCAGCTCTATTTACCGTGGTCGAAAATGTTTGTATTTGGGAAGAATTCAACGGTTATGATGACGTTTTACTGGGAAACAAATGCAGTGACAGAAAGCAGTAGCTGTGCAAACCCACAGCAGGGCCTGGATGCTCCGGCTTCTTAACGTGACTTGTTAATTTTTCATGCGGGTGCTTACCTCCGGCAAACATGGCTGACGATGACCTCACTGCTCTTCATTTTCAATGGGTTCTCTAAAAACTGCATCTCATTGCTTCCTTAATAATAAAAAAACCCTCAAATTACAAGCCACCATTTCCTCTTTTTTGTGTTGTTGTTGTCGAGTGTCACAAGTCGAAGCAGGTGTCACATATTGCTACCATGGCAACATCAGTTTTTGGTCTTCAGTTAGCCTGAGAGTAAGGTGTCTATGAATTAATCGGTCTTTATTCTTGTGAGGCTGGCAAAATAACTGCAAATGTATGCAAAGAGGTATGCACCGAACGTTCGAACAGTTAAGAATGCAAACTGTAAGAAAAAGCAAAAAACCTTTGACATGTGGTGGATTACTGAATCAGTACATTACTTTTTTAGTGGGTTAAAAACTTTCTGGTTATTATTGACTGTTTGGTTGGTATAGGAGGCAAAATGAACGTGAATCTGCACTGTTATCAGGTGACAGTACCGCGAGGATGTGGCTGCAGTGGATAGATGCAGTTTTCACCTCACGTCCTCTTGTCCAGGCTGACCAAGGACATCGTTCATGCTTCTATTCAGATGATCCTAGGTTTTCCTTCTCTTTTTTTTTTCTTTTTCAGTTCAGTTTTGAACCTCTGAGCTAAAGTCGCTAAACTTTACCAGGTGATAGAAAACACTCTAAACCCACAAAAGGGCAAAGAAGACAAAACTGGATCCAAGAGAGAGAGAAAAAGCAGTAGGAAGAATTTTTCTTGTATCAAATATTTTTCTTCCTCTGTAGCATTCGTCACTCTTCTACCAGTTTATTTATCCATTGTTGTGATTGGGCAGATACTGCTAATGTTGCCCCTTTAATGCAAACATGCAGGTGAATACCTGGGTTACCTTAACAATATGCTGATATCGCTCCGTGCGACTGTTATCCTGAGTACTGATGATAGGTTAAGTGAATCCAGATTAAAAAAAAAAAGTTTGGGTATGTTGAACCTGTCAGAGGTCAGGGCCTTGATGAGTGAAGACAGAACATTGTCTATAGCTTGTTCATTGGAAATGAGACACAGGTGGAAACAATTTAATGCTGGTGAAACTAATGAGACATTAGAAAACTGTATCGTAACATACAGACTAAACAGGGGAACACATATATAGCAGGGGCAAAATAACAAACGTAACAAAACAAGGGGCCATGACATGAGTTTGACTGCTCGGTCTGCCTACAGTCACAGGTATAGGGAAAAAACATGGATGGGTTTAAGCAGAAAAAGTACTCCTTCGGTTTTAGAAAAAGTTCTTTCCGCAGTCTTACTGCATGTTAAGAAGCCTGCATCTCCAGTTGTCTTCACAGGGGCATTCTCAGTGATTATGTGCCATCGTAGAGGATAATCCACTGCAATCAAAATGATGTCCACACAGAATAAAAGAAGAATCTCAAATAAAACAGCAGTGCAATTTTTTTCTTGCTCACATTTGCTCCTGTAATCCTCACCTGATAACCAGCCACAGGTGGAGACTGTAAAATAAAAGTCTGATCAAATGTCATTCAGACACAATTAGCACAGAACAGCAGCAATAACCGCCCTTCAAACTCTCATCGAAACACCTGCATGCAAACACTCTTTCGCTGTTCCTCTGGGGTTGTATAGGTTGTGGTTTTGTCACAGGGGGGTTTGAGTGGGATGGAGAGGTTATGAGAATAGCATGATGTCTGCTCAACCAGCATGCTTTCTTCTCTCAGCACCACCGAGGTACCACTTCAGACCATGAGGGGGAATATACAGGAGAGCTACTTCCAAAGGGTCGCATCTAAGCATCATGAGAGCTGACCCTGTGGCAGGAGGAAGAGAGGTGACAGGGAACCACAGCAGTGGGCTGGCTGCCTCATACTCATCAAAGCCAGAAAAAAGCAATATAGCCTGTTAAAGACTCAGACCACGAACAAAACTTTGCAAGAAATAATGAAAAACATGTAGCCTATAACCCTTAATAATATTTTAATGAAACTAACCAAAATCCCATAAACCACTGTCAAAGGCAGAGCTCCACACGACTGATTAAATCTACTTTTTGGAGCCCGTTTGTGGGATTTGCATCAGTAGTCGTGTTGAGGCTTGTGTCATAGATCATCCCAGTGGTTTCGGATGGTGTGAGGTCAGGGCTCTTCGTAAGCCACTCAGCTGTGTGTATGTGGGCATTGTCATGGTGACCTTATTTAAACTGTGTCTAGAGAATATAACTATCTAAAAGCATTAAAATATTCTGTAGGCTAAAAATCTAAGGTTGAACACTGAAAATGGCGAAAATGTTTGCAGAGCTTCTGTCTTTGAATCACTCAGAATATCACCACAGTAAATGACTTTCTCAGAGCTATGGGAGTTTTCTCCTGCACCACGAAATCAGCGAATGCTTAGAAACAGGTAAATTTCCAAAAACATCAGGAGCGTGAGCTCTGATTCTGGAGACTCTGTCAGCAACGCACACACCACCCTAACCTGTGCCATAGGCAGTGTATGTCATGTGTGACAATCCATAAATTAAACATAAGTGAAAACCTAAGTCCACATATGACCCCAAATCTGATACAAAATGTGAATAAAAAATAAATCACGAGGCAGTTCACACTCTGGGCAGTATTTACTTTCAAGAGAATAGTTTGTATTTTGTGTGTATTTATTTTATTTGTCCTTTTTAAGAATAATTTTAGAAGTTTGTAGTGCAGTAAAAACAAGTGCAATGTGTTACACCCCGGCCTAGGCAACCGGAGTGCAACACGAAAAAAATAGAAATAAGGGAAAAAAAGCCCCCAAGCTCACTGCTCTTAAGGAGGGCGAACTCATAAAAAAGACTAATACGGGCTTCCACAAAAATAATCCCAAAAAGAAAGTATCGACAACTATTGTCTTTAAAGCAAAATACGATATTTATTTACATCAAAATGCCAGGCGCCAAACTATTTACAACGGGGGGGAAGATCGCGACCATGACATACAGAAACACAGGGCTTAAATACATAGAAGGAGCAATTAGGGAATGGATCACAGGAGGGAAACACAGCTGGGGCAAATTAGACCTGACGAGACAAGGAAACGTAAACTGAACACACTAAGGTCGTGTCCAAATTCATGGGCTGCATCCTCCTGAGGCCGCATTTGTAGACCGATTACGTCACAGCGACGCGCCGAAGGCTGTCCAAATTCGTAGACTCCTCCGAATGTAGCCGACAAATGCGTCCTCCTTTTCCCCGAATTTTAAGGATGGGTTGGGTGTGTCCTTCGTGGCCTACCATATCCCAGAATTCATAGCGCGGCCCAGCCAAATTCCAGTTTCCAACAATGGCGGCCGCTACTAAGTTTTAAAATTACTCATACTAATCTTTCTGGGTCACAAAATAAACTTTTAACATATTTTCAGGCGAGAAAGTAGTTGTGTAAACATCAAATATCTGCTCGGTTTATCAAGATATCGCATATTTGCAAAAGTGCGTCGACGTTTTCTAAGGCGTCTGCTACCCACCAGCTCGACAGCTAGCCGGGAGCTCGAGGGTTACTGATGCGGCCGAGAACGGCACAACTCCCGGCACATCATTTTCAGATCACCGCGGACTTTCACTGCTCGGGTTAAACGTAATATATAAGTCACTTAGACAACCTAAAAATGTTATTGTTGGGCTTTTTCCAGTGTTTTGTTTGTTCGTGAGTAAATCGGTTTGGCTGAGATTAAAGTTATTAGATACGATTAGATAAAATAAAACTTTATTAATCCCCTGGGTGGGTTCCTCCTTGGTTTTTACACAGCTGACTAAACGTCAAACAGAAAACTGATTAAACAGAAGTATGAGACAGTCGAGAATTTACGCCAGTGTCCCGTTATATTTTAGATAGCAAGGAGCAGACGACCGAGTTTATTAAACTCCACTGAGACAGCGGTGACGCTAATCAGAAGGCTAGACCGTCCAATTTCACGGCCGTTTACTTCCGGCCTACCCGACCTTCTGAGGACCCGGCCCACGTAGACCGCGAAGGCCGGGTCCTCAGGAGGATGCAGCCCATGAATTTGGACACGACCCAAGATAACACAGACTTTCAAAGTAAAACAGGAAACACATAACAGTCACGCCAAACCAAAACGCCTAAAACAATACACTGCCAACGCCGAACCATAACATACCCCCCCACCCAAAAAAACAAACATTTAAAACATACAACCCCAACGAAAAATGTTTGTTCCATGTCCAGCCCATACGGCACCGGCCGCCGTCCCGCAGGCGACGCTGATGGCTGGTCGGGTCCCCCAGCGGAAACGGAAAACTGGAGCGGGCCCTCGGATCCCCCAGGGAAGACAGACGAAAGGCTGGAGCGGTCCCTCGGACCCTCCAGCGAAGACAAACGAGCAGCTCACTAGCTGCAAACACGGACATGCAGCTCACCAGCCGCAAGCACGGACATGCAGCTCACCAGCCGCAAGCACGGACAACACAACACCAACAAACACATCACTGGGTCATAACAAATGTTTGGCTTTTATTATTTGCCCCGTTGGCAGATATGAAATATAAAAGTGAGGTCAGAAGTCAAATCCGACATGACAATTATAATGCGATATTTATAATACCCATATACCATGCATTGCGGGCCAATACAAACAAAGGCATGAGAATTTTAGGCAAAGTTTTAAAAATAAAAGGCATTTTATGAAAGTTTGACCTTATTTGAACTTATAGAAGAAGTTAGAGGTCTAAGGTCAAACTTGCTATTTGATATAAAAAAAAAATCAATCAAACACAAAACATAGGGAAAACAAAATAATCCTAATAAATCATAACTCGTCATGTTCAAAAAGGATTAGGAAGAAGCTTATTGAGCCCCACCCCTTTCTTCTGTTTCTACCACACTGAGATTTTCAAATCATTATATTCTGTTTTATTTACATTTTACACAGCCCAACTTTTTTGGAATTGGGATTGTATAAAATATAAGTAACTAAAAGAATAACGCACCACAGTTGGATTCATGTGTGCTCCCTATGGTTTGAAATATGAAGTAACTTTAATTGTTGTAATTTCAATGTGTTTGTCTGAAAAGGGTCTTTTGTAAATAAGACATTTAGTCTC